GACTCCTATAAGATTGATGGGATTTTGATTCATCTAGATCCTGAACTAACGCGTAAGCTTTTTCAAGGGTGTCTACTCCCCGAGCAAAGAGTTCGGTTTGCAGATCATTTCTTAATCCAGCTCTAAACTTCGACAAGACTTTCATTGGCGCCTCTTGTTCAATAGTGTTGCATCGAGTGAACAGTTCGTCAAATTGTGCGACGTAGTCTTTCGCAGATTTGGTTCCTTGAGTGAGGCGATGCCACTTATCTAACAACCGATGATAAAAGGATGGCGGAAGGTATTTCTGTTTAAGTTCGTTGGTCATTTCTCGCCAAGTTGTAATCGGTAACTCGCCTCTAATGTGCCTCAACGTTTCGAGGTTGGTCCAATATTGGCAGGCGGGTCCGGTAAGTTTCATTGCGGCGAACTTGACCTTTCGGGGTTCCGTCAGGGCGTACCAATCAAAATAACGATCCATACTCTTCAGCCAGTCCAAGAAAGCTTGTGGGTCGAGCTTGCCGTCGAAAGTTGGGGCGTTGATCTTAATACTCCTTAAGTATTGCGCATCCGGATCAGGTACTGGTTGATGTGGGGGGCGCTGACCAATGTTTCCATAGCCTTGACCTTGCAGCGGTGGGGCGATATGTTGATAACCTTGATCTGGCGGTGGTGGAGTTGCAACACGAGCTTCTTCGAGCCTAGCAAACTTTTCGTTGGTTTCATTTCGGAGATTGGTTAAACCCTGGACTACGGCACCTAATTGTCCTGCTAGTTCATCGAGTTTCTTATAGAGTTCGGGATCATTACTACCTGACATACTGGACTCACTAGTCGACTCACTTGACTCTCCTAAGCGATAGGGTAGACCGGTACGAGTGGGCATGCACTAAATGCAATGAAATGAGTGGGTGCAAAAAAAAAAAAAATTTAAATGAGATGACTAATTTTTTTTTTTTTTATTATAAAGACACAAATTTCCTAACCTAGAACCGGGTGCTCTGATACCAAAAATGATGCGAAACAATGTGATGCAGGTATGAAGATTAACAACAGCAATGCTTCGCCAAATCAGCGATCGATCTAGGCAGGAAGCTCATGAATAAAGTGTAGCTTTTGATGGGTTTTAAGCAAAAGTTGCAATGTACTAAGTTCAAATCTTTTGTAAATGATCCAGAAAATAAATGTAATGATTCGTTCTCTCAATACAGTTCAAAGTGTAATATTTGGATAAGTAAAAATACTTAGCAACAGATTCGCTCGCTCACTTAGTCAAACTGATTACAGCACAAATACGATCGATAGTAATATTGATAACAACATGCAAGCAATAGCAGTTCCGAAAATAATTGGGCGAAAGAAAGTTGAACCTTCGTCGGGTTGAACTGGTTCGACGGGAGGATCCTCTGGAGGTGGTTCAACGACGCCAAATATGAGGGGTGGAAGCTCTCCACCGAGGGCGGCGTAATTCGGATGGAGTGGTGTATCTGGATGGAAACGCCGATGCCACGAACTGATTCCCAAACTACTCTCTATGCTGTCAACGATCTGATGAGTCACACGCTCAACGTACTCGGGCACGCTCTCGAATGACTGATAATCAAACCACGGGGAAAGCTGTAAATCTGCGATGCCGGTCTCTGGATCTAGCACGATTCCGTCATCTGCATCAGGATCTGCCATACACCATCAATTGTAAAATCAGGGATCAAATGGTTGAATCTGACTCAACTAGCTTCAACAACTCCGGATTGGGTCAAGTGGGTCTGGTCCACACTTGACTCAAATCAAATGGGTTGGTTGAGTGAATAGGGACTCTGCTTTAAATCACTCAAGCCAAATAGTCTTCAATAGGATCTGGATCTGAGGACAAGCGGAAAAGACGAGGTTTTCCTGGTATGCTTGGGAGCATCGACTGCATGCACTGGACATGGAAGAACTGTCCAACTGCCTGGCAAGGTATGTATACTGGACATTTTCATGAACCTATAATTATTTTGGAGGCCGTACCTAGCAAAGATCTTTGGATATGGCATGACTTCTTTGGACTGCCAGGGTCTCACAATGACCTTAATGTTCTACATCGTTCACCGGTTTTCGTACAACTTGCGAAGGGAAGAGCTTCACCATACAACTATACTATCAATGGCCACGAGTATAATATGGGATACTATCGGAGGCGGTCGGATTTGGGATGGCGGTGGTTGCTCGCGTCGGGGGATTCGGGCGGAGGGAACACCGGAGGCGGACGAAGGGGAAGGCCGTCGGTGGAGGAGGTGGTGATTGCTGGAGTCGACGGAGGAGGGCGGCGGTCCGGTGGTCTTCGGGTGTGGTTGCTGCGGTTGTAAGGGGAGGACTGTGTGGGTTTGATTGTTTGCTTGGAGGAGAAGACGAACAGTATCGGATTTGATTTTCTTTTATTTTTATTTTGTGAAGAGATTGACGGCTGATCAAAATCAATAAGCTAGGGTTTCACACCATTATTTAGCAAATCAATTTCATTCATCAGTAATTTTCCAAACTGATTACAGGAGAGTTTAAATAAAGCAAATTACAGTTTTGGAAAATCCTCTCAATCCCTCAAATCTCTCTCTTAACCAATTACAATCAATCAGTTGGTTAACTACCAAATAAAATCAAAATTCGAAATTCAAAAATTCAAAATTCAAACTAATTATTACAACTTGAAATCAAAACCATAGTGCTGAAATATTGCGCCTCCTGCGCTGATAAACTCGGCGAAAATCTCGTGTATGAGTCCGGATGTCCCCATCACAATCATAAATCTAATACAATATAATATTTGATAATTAGGAAGAACTAATGAGGATGCGATGCGAGTATAATATATGATAATTAGGAAGAACCCTTAGACATCCACCTCTCCAATATCTCTACCTGACGCATTTCAAAGTATTGTCGTTGAACTGAATTGAGTGTTGAGAGATCCATCTTCATGATATCGTCATCTTGTTTCTTCTGTTTTAGCTCTATTTTTTGATTGGTGGTTTGCTTCATCCACGCGAAAGCCTCTCCCATGATGGACGTAGCGGACTCAGAGTTTTCCACATTTTGTTTCCTCTTGAACTTTGTCGCTTTCCTCCCTTCAGGCCTTACTAACACATCATCCGAGTCAGTGTTCAACTCGATGGGGGTCGCTGGCATGGAATTATTTGGTGAGAAATCAGAATTTGTGGTTCTTCTCGGCTGTGATCGAATCTTATTGTAAGTTTTTATTTGTTGGATCCACTTTTGATGATGACGCAACTCAACCCAGCAATGGTCAAACACGAATGGTTTACCGTAAAAAGATTGGTATAATTCTTTTACTTCTGCAGTCTACACAAGAGTTAAATTTAGAATAATCAAACATAATTAAACATATATATTCCTCTCTTCAATGCTATGTTGTTTACATAAAAACATATAAGTTAAATATTTACCTGGTCAATAATTCCCGTACCAGATCTTTTTCTTCCTTCAATCTGAGCAACGCACCCGCAAAACTTGTTGACGGACAGTTGAATCGTTGACCAACGATGCATCATTTGATTTGATGTGTGGCTCGTTGGATCGGTGGAGTATTGGATAAAGTAGTCGTTAGCTTTGTGTCAAAACTTATCTTTGTGTTGCCCCGTACCTTGGATGGCGTTTTGGCTCGTATTCAGCCAAGCAGACACAAGAAGCTTATTATCGTGGACAGTCCAATTTTAGGACCGCATGTAAGCCTTCTTCTTTGTGGTCGGTGTTTCTTGGGATGACACTTGTTGTGTTGCCGATTGCGAGAACTCGATGGGGTTGCCTTCTTCTACGACTTCTGTATAGAACGGCGGGTATAAGGTCGATCCTTCACCGGTAAGGAGTTGCGAATAATAGTTTTGTGAGGGATCCATGAGATTTGTAATTTGATAGGGAAATATAGAGTTTTTTTATGAGAGAGTTGTGTGGAATGATTTGTGTATTGAAGTGAAACGAATTTATAGATGATTTTTACTGTTCATGCCAGTTTTTTTAATCCCAACAGCTAAATTTTTCAACGGCTGAATTTTTCACCTCAATGGTACATTGTCAACTCAACTTTTCTCTTCAACGGTACATTTTCAACTCAACGGGCATTATTTTCACCTCAAACAACGCACCCAATTAAAAAAATCAAAAGAGAGATCTTCGTCCTCTCCCTTCAACAGACCCAACCCCACCCCTTCGACAGACCCAACCCCAATCCCAAATCCTCTCCCTTCGACAGACCTAACCCCAACCCCAAATCCTCTCCCTTCGACAGACCCAACCCCAACCCCAAATCCTCTCCATCGACGGCCCTTCGCCATGCGGAGGCCAATCGGAGGCCTCTTCGCCACCATCATCTCCGACCCGACCCGAACGCCGCCATCATCTCCGGCGTCGGCATGCGGAGGCCAGTCGGAGGCACCCCAGTCATCCATCATCTCCGAACCGAACGCCACCCATCAGTCTCCGACCCGACCCGAACGCCACCCATCATCTCCGCGAACGCCATCATCTCTGAATCTGATTTTTGAGGGGGGGGTTTGTAAATGTTTTCCCAGTTGGGAGCTCCCAAGCGCTCCACAAATTTGTGGAGCGCTTGGGAGCTCTGAAGCTCTCCACCGCCACGTCAGCCTAAGGAGAGGGGCTTGGGAGCGGTTAGGAGGCTGCTGGAGGGGGTGAAGCAGGAGACCTCCGCCACGTAGGCACTGAGAGCGGGCTTGGGAGCTTGCTGCCCTTGCTCTAATAACTGCAGGTGATAGCATCCATGTTAATGTGCATAAATATAGCTTGGTTGAACCAAAAAGGAAATGCCTAATTCTTGGCCCTCTGCATGTTTACTTGACTTGTCTCATAAAATACTTTGAAAGCCATAAGTAAACCTTAGTGTAAATGTGTTCAGCATTCCACATAGTAACTACTTGTTTATTTCGTCTTTCCTTTTTACTGTGTGAGACTCAGTAAATTTGGAAATCAGTCAGAAAGTTATGTTTACAGTATAGCTCTGGTTGAAACAGGTTAATGGAGAAAACTGCTCATCTCGAGAGTGAAAAGGCGCAGAAAGAGGCTGAAGTTCAAAAGCTCATGGAAGAGAATGTATCACTGAGAGCTATGCTAGACGAGAAAGAAGCTGAACTTCTTGCTATGAATGAGCAGTGCAAGTTCATGGCACTCAGCAGTTCTGGGATTTAATAAACAGTTGGCCGTTGATTATATTTTCAGAGGCTTCATATGAAAGTGAGAATCTTTTAATCATTGGGCTTTTTATTTCATATTTTTAAAGGGTGAATTACACAAAAAATACTATGTAATTGAGAGGCTTTTGCAGGCCCTTTTTCCGTAAGTTACCATACCTATCGTTAGGATAAGTTGTTCGCATGTAACACATTCTAGACAATTTTGCCCTTATGTACTTCATATATCTTATGTATTACCATTAGATACTTTGTGGCTTGATAGATATCGATAAGGGTAATCTAGACGTTTTATCCTAAACATTAATTCCATTAGCAACAGCTTCCTATGTTCATGCATAAAAAAGTGTGTGGTAGTTTTGTGCAAAATCCTCCATGTCTCATGGTAGTTTTGTGAATTTACTTATGTGTTAATTGGAGTGCATTGAAGTACGACAAAATGATATTTTACAGAGGCCTGTTTTTTTTTAAGTGACTGAATTAGTTATTAAATTTCCTATATCTTTCTTACAGGCATAAGTTCCCTAAAATTTCTTTCTTATAGTCATGCTCAAGCTAACTGTGATTTTATGCAGGAAACTGGAAGAGAGAGAAAAAGGGGGCCAAACGTTTGAAGAATGCTGTACATGCTCAGTGAAGTCCTCTTTGTTTATTCTTGTGTGTGAATTTTCTAATTTGAACTTGTATTAGTCTCTGATTTACTCTGAGCGATAAGACAAATGAAATTATTTGTACTGTAACCATCAAGTGAAAGTGAAAAGTAAGCTTTGACCTCTTTACAAAAATTTCCAACAGGTCAAAAAGATGTCGGTTTTGCTAAATGAGCTCTTCAAAACATACGTGACTACTAGTCTCGTATATTTAGTTGTCATTAATTGGCGAATAATACTATTTTAGAAGTCCAGTGAGTTTTTGCTATCACTTCAGAAAACGTACGGGACTAGTAGTTTCGTACGTTAAGCATCACATTATCCGGGACCTCCGTCACAAAGAAGGTGGCCTTATCCTTGGGATCCAGCCCCCTACATCCTCATTGTAGCTATGAACTCCTTGTCCTGGTCCCCTTCTGGAATGCCTCCTCGAACTCCTCCCCCACGAACGCGTCCTCAGAGGCGCAGGTGATGGCGGTGGAGATGGAGAGGCGCTTCTCCTTGCGGTTGATCTTGATGGACCATTCCTTGGGTTTGGGGCCGAAGATGACCCGCCGCCGGGCCGGGGGGGTTATGTTGGGACCCGCGGCGGGAGCGGTCGGTCTTCTTTTGCTGGAAGGGCTTCTTGCCACCGTCGCAGACCTTGGAGCGGGTGAGGATGGAGGCGGTGTCGCGATGGCTGTTTTGGCGGCGCGCGGAGAGGCCAGCGGTGCGCCGACAAGATGCTGGCGATGGGGGAAGGGGCGAACTTGAGGGAGAGAACGACAGTGGAGGTCTGGTCGCCGGGGAGTTCAGCGGTGAGCTCGGAGCGGGTTGAGGATGAGGATCAGCGGAGGACGAGAGAGGGTTTAGTGGCCAATTACTGGCCATAATCATACAGGACTAGTAGTCCTGTATGATTCGAAGAGACAATTTAGCAAATCCGGCCTCTTTTTGGTCTATTGGCCAAAAAGAGATTGGTTTTGCTAAATAATTAGCAAAACGTTCGGATTTGCTAAATATTTAGCAAAAAATGTTCTTTTTTAAAAAAAACTCCAATTCTTCTGTCTCTTCTATTGTCCTGTTGGAGAAATAGTTTATTTACAATTCTTAGATCTATCAAATTAAGGTCTCTTCTGAGAGGTCATTAATTTGTTTAATGTTTGTAATATGCAATTAGATCAATCACAAGCGTATAAATTGTCATTGAGGGTCTACAGTTGATTCTACATTTCTTAGAAAGTGAAAGCATACGACCGAATGAGCAACCCCTAAGCAAAGCAAAGTATAAACTTCAGATGGAAGATCCTTAGCTTTCAATCTGTACATTTTATTTAAATATAATTATGCATAAAAAAAATACCTTAAAGATATGTAAAGCCCAGTTTAACCAAAAGAAAAAGAAAAAGAAAAGAAAAGAAAAGTACTTGTCAAGAAGAACAAATATGATAATGAGAGCACAATATCTATACATTTGTACTAAATGTAATCTGCTAATCATTTTTGGTTTGACGAGGGAACTCCCCATGATCCAAGGGGCAGCCCCCAATACGCGGCCTTGGGTATTTCAAGAAATTAAATATCCATGGCGTTATCTAAGAGAGTCGAACCTAAGATCTTAGAGTGTTACTCATAGGCAGCGTACCAACTCAGCTAGACCCTAATCTACTTATGTCTGTTACTGAAAAGAAAATGACCCAAAGCATAGAGTAGGCAGATTTTAGAAAAAACTTGAAACTTGGGTAATTTGCACAAAAATCGACCATGAACCTTAAAAATCGGAGAAAGTCCCTCCCTAAACCTTGGTGATTTACACAAAACTATACTATATGTCCGAAGAGTTGCATGTCAACTTTAGGGCAAATTGTGCTCTAGAGTTTGTCTGAAGTAGAAAACAGAGGGAAACAAAATAAAATTAGGAAGAGGGGTTTGTCTGTGGTTTTACTACAATAGGGAGACTATTATTCTTTTTTTAAAAAGTATTTTAGCAGGCATAACTTAAAAAGAGCTGGGAGCAGTTGGTACTCCCCAAAATTAGAGATTTTTACATTCTATGCATATCATTCAAAAGTCCAGGGGGGTTTGGGACTATTAATTTTTGTGATAAAATAGCAAAGTAAAGAAAGTAGATATGCCACTTCTATGGGGGCAAAAAATCAGTTTGTTTCCTAAAAAACTACTTCTGAAGCATTGTACTTATTCCCCGCCCATGTGACATCTCTATTTCTTAAACATTTTTATGGAATTTCTTAAAAATTTTATGCCCGTAAACTTGTCCAATGAATAAAATAAAGAATTACACCTCTGCAAAGTTGCCTAATGGTTAAGACTTGGGGAGTTGGTTCAAAAGGCTAAGAATTAATCTGCATCTATAGCACATGTCCATCCTTAATTTTTAAATATTAAGCATTGCAATACCTGTGTTTTTCATTTGGGTCTCATTGTAGGAGGAGAGCTCCACGTCCCGGGGTTTACTTTCTTGATAGCCAAGGTTTCCTAGTACGAGGGGAAAAAGAGAAAAAGAGAGAAAAAAAGGGAAAAAGGTATCCAGACCCCCCAAAAAGAATGTTGTTGTAAAACAGCCCCTCATAGTTTTTTCCATGTGCTTTAACCCCAAAAACTCTCAAAAATGTGGTATGGCCCCTTTCACACTCTCTCAGGAATTTTTTTGGGACAACTTTCCGAAAATAGCCTCCCTCTTTTCTTCTTCTTTCTTCTGCTTCTCTTGTGTCTTTCTCCTCCTCCTCCTCCCCTTTCTCCTCTTCTTCTCTCCTCCTCATGTAAGAGTCAAAAAAGAGACGCCTGGATCCCAAGAAATTATGGCTCCCACAGTACCCAAGATCGAATCCGAAGATGCCTCGATCCCAAGAATCCCTCGGATCCCCAAATCGCTAACACTAATCCCCCGTCCCCGAATCCCAAGCTCTCTCCAAAGTCTCTCCCCAAACCTCGCCGATGAGCGCTGTAAGGTTCATGAATTTAGATACTAGTTAAATAATTTTTAGTATTTTAAAATATTTAATTATTATTTTTAAAAGAGTATTTGTATTTTTCTCGATTTTCTATAATTTCCTATGATTTAAAAGTCTAAATTTTATATTTATTTAAATACTTTTAATATTTATAAATTTATTTTGTGCGATAAAATTTTTTGGAATTAATTTTTTGTGTTATATGTACTATTACGTATTATTTTTAAAAAATATGTTGTATTATTAATTTTATTACGTATTATTTTGTATAATACTTTATATTATTAATTACGTATTATCTGTATAATTTATTGTATTATTTCTACTATTACATATTATCTGTTGTATTAGTATAATTGGTACGTTTTACTGTGTATATAATTATCCCATAGTTATTTGATTTTAAATATAAGTAAATATATTTTTATTATTAATTATTCTTGTTTAATTATATAATATGTGTATATTTCGACTATTTCGTATCAACTGTTGTATTAGCACAACAGGTACGTTTTTTTGTAGGTAATTATTGCGTAAATTAGTTTAATTTTTAATAGCCATAATTATTTTTTAAATACCTAACCTAATCCTCATATATATAATATATATATATTATATATATATTATATAATATATAATATATATTTATATATATATATATATTAATGCGCCGCACGTGGTGTTTCTCTCTCGTGTTTCAAAAGCATTGTCCCCTTTGCAATTTCTCTCTCTCCTCTCGTCTCTACTCTCTCTTCTCCGACCAAAAACACGCCAAACGCGCCGCCTTGACAGCCCGACCAACCTCTCCGCGGCAACTCGCCCGACAGCTCTCACCCGTCGAGCCGCCCGCCTCTCCTCCTGCACCCCAGCCCCGTCAGCCGCCGCTCTCAAGACAGCAGCGCCCCACTCGCCTCCGCCCTCGCCTCCTCCTTTCCCCGCTTGCCCATCTCCACCCTGCTCGAGTCCTCTCCGCCTCACCACCATCCCGACCCGCCCACCGTCGCCCTCTGACCGCCAGCCCTCTCAAGACCGTCCAGGCCACCGCCTGCAGCCGCCGAGCCGATGGCGTCATCCCTCCTCTCGCCAAACCCGATAGCCGCCTGATTGCCGCTCCCCTCCTCCGATCCGCGTCGTCAAAGCCCTCCCTTGGCCCCAAGCCCGCGCTCCCCAATACACACCGCAAGCGCTACCGTCGTCGTCCTCTGCCTCACGCCCGACGAGCTCACCTACAGCACCCCCTGGCCGACCCCTCCTCCGACAAAAACAGCCCTCTAACGGTCCGCGTCATCCAGTCATCGTACCTGGAGCTCACTGACGTCGCTGCCTTCAGTTCAGACCCGTGGACTCACACGTCAGCGTCGACTTGTTCGACAACACCCGAGGCAAGATCCCACTTCCCTTTGACTCGTCAATTCAATTCTGGATCTGTTATGAATTATTTGTGCTGTGATATGATTAGTTATAACTTGTATATTGTGATTATCTACGTGAGACTGTTGATGAACGATATTGAATGATTTCAAATGATAAATTAATGTTTTTCTAGATTAATCAGAATTATTATTATGAGAAATAATTTCTAAAAGAGTTTATTTTGGAAAATGGTTTATTTTGAATTATTATAATAATAAATAAGTTAAAAGAATTTATTTTGGAAAATGGTTTAGTTTTGAATAATTATAATGTTAAATAATTTTAAAGGAAAATTTTGGGAAAGGGATTATTTTTAAAGGAATCTATTTTAGAAAAGATTATAATAATAAATAAGTTAAAATAATTATTTTGGAAAATGATTAGAAATTGTGAGATTTCATGTGTAATTATTTGATAGTTGTAGTTCCATCTTGCACTGTTATTAGTAGTTGTTCACGTTTCCTGTTCATGATTCATGACACTGTTGCATTTTATCATCCCTTTTTATAATTGAGAATCGTTAGGAGTTTATGACTAGAGTGACATGTGCGACATGAATAAAACCTAGAGGCTTGTGAGTTGTTGACTTAGAAAAACGAGAAGAGCTGGGTGGGGAAGTCTTTGTTCATGTGATCGGATGTGGCTGTTGATGTATCTTCCAGGCTCGCACCAGTGAGTTTGTGTAGCACTGGGGATGGTTTGTTGGATCAAAGTAAAGTTTGTGTAGTCACTTTGGTCCGTGAGTTTGATATTCACC